ACAACGTGACACGTATTTTATATATATTAAGATAATATTCTTTGAAATAATCTATAGAAATGTCTTAAACAGCACCGGTATTTTAAAAATTAGAGTATTGGTTTATTTATTTACCTAATAAAAATGAAGAATTATTTAATACATATTACAAAATTACAGAGAATTTAAGGTGGTATAAAAATAGACACTTTTTTCTAATTTCAAAATATGAACACAATAAATTAAATTAAATTAGACAATAATCGAAAATTATTCTTTTTGATTACTGTATATTTAACTTTATTAAGAAGTAGAAGTTTTAAACTGATTTGCCACGAGCTCGGCGGTGAAGGAAAACATCGTGAGGGAAGCTGCATGTTTGAGAAATAAGAAAAAAATATTTTGAAGACATGTGAAGTTCGCGAAATCGTATTAGGGCAGCGCGGCAGACAATTTCTTGGCCTAAAACCCTCTCAGCAATGAGCAGAGGCCTGTGCCCAGGAGTGGGACATATATAGACTGTAACTTTAACTTTAACTAAGAAGTTTTAACATTAAACATTAAACTGCACAAGAACTGCAAAGGTGACATCTGGCATTACCCTTGTGGGTTGTGATCATAGATTTAATATTAACTGTCGTTAGAAGTTCTGATTCCAAAAATGAAAGTAAGGACGAATATTAGTGTTTTTGTGTTTTCATAGATAAAATAAATTCAGAACGGATACATAGTGTTTTTAAATAGAATCGAGTGGACGATTGAAAGTGTATTTTCAATATTACAAAGTACGCTACAATTTCACCGTAAACAAACTGATGTTACAACTTAAAATTTATTCCATTTAAACCACAGTAATACATTGGATATTTTGCAAGGCTTGTTATCAAACAATGATATAACCGGAGTGCCTTAACCATGCGGTAATAAATAGTTACGGAAGCGAACAGGGAATTTTCGGAGCTATTATAGAGGAAGCACTACTAGCCATAGTTAACTGCATTGGTGTCATTAGGCAAAATAGTTTCCATAGCGTGTACTTCAACGATCTATGTCTGTGATTCCAAGCGATAAATTGGATTGTTTATTATGAGTAAACCCTAGGACTTAATTTGAAATCGATTGAAAAGGTTAATTGACACGTGAAATGAATACTCTTAGAAGAACTACATCCATTCGACGAAGAAGTTTTTTTTTTCAGCATTGGGTGACAAACGAGTACACAGTCCACCTGATAGTAAGTGGATATATAGACATCCACATTTATCCTCAATCAAGGATCAAAATGCAAATGCGTTGTCACCCCTGAGGCCTAAGATGGAATGCCTTGTTTCCAGTAAAAACGCTCTCCGGTTCTCTACACTCATCATATGAAACACAGCAGCATTACGCTACTATTTTACGCTGGTATTCTGTGAGAGCGTGGTGTTACCCCGGTCGAGCTGACCTATTTGTGCCACAACTACAACATAGCTGCAACGTGGCTCTACCACGTAACAAATATAAGTGAAGAAAAAGCAGAATTAAAATTAATTAGAAAATTTAAACAAAAAATTTTTGGTCTCCTGCTCTACTCTAATCCTTTGAATGATTCCACAACGCCGCCACCGCTGGCACGAAGCTACAACGCCATGAGCATTAGACTGCAATATCTCGGGGCATCAGAAGGTTTTTCCTCTGATGCTTCATTCTGCTGATTCATTCATACGATACCCAAAGGGATGGTATGGTTCATGGGGTAGTTGATTCTCTTACGTCGTCACCAGATGACGAATTACAAAACATTTTGTCATTAACATCATCATCGTCATCATTACTGTAGCCCATAATAAGTCCATTGCTAAACATAGGCTTTAACCCCAGTAATGTCACGTGCATCCATTGTATTCTAGAATGTTTTGCCAAATAATCACATCATCGTGCTGCAACTTTGCTTGCCGGTATGAATCGGCCACTCGAGAAACTTTCTTCAACATTAGTTGTAGATTCGTCGACCTCTATGGCAATTCAGCTTACTGATCCTTTAGGCTATGTCGGTTACTTTGGTTCTACTGCGGATATCCTCATTACAAAGTATATCACGTAGAGAAACTCCGAGCATAGCTCTCTCCATAGCTCGCTGAGCGACCATGAGAGCTTTCCTGTATGGTCAGCAGTTAACACCTCAAATGCATATATCACTTGCGACACGCACTGGTAGTACACTCTCGTTTTAAAAATTTGAAGTGCGTATATTGTGTAGGTTTTAGAGCTTCGCTGTACACATATCATGGTACGAATGGGTTGGCTCGACCAGGAAAGGACTAAGCTCTCTCAGGATACCATTGTAAAATTGCAACTTAATACTGCTGTGTTTCGTATGGTGAGTGTAGAGAACCGGAGACCCTTTTAACTGAAAACGAGACATTCCATCGTAGTCCTCAGGGCTGACAAAGAATGTGAATTTTGATTCTTTATCAAGGATAGATATAAATGTCTATGGGCCACAGCATCCATTTACCATCGTGTGGACTGTTTGTTCGTTTATCACTCCTATTTTATAAAAAAAGAACAAGAAAAACGATACACATGACGAGAAGTATAGAATCCGATCATGACACAAAATATTTGCAAGTAGTAAGATAATAACCTAAACATAAATATTATTGGCATTTCTATAATAATGTCGAAACGTTGAATGATGATATTGATATACGTAGCCATTAGTTATGCTCCTCAGATTATAAATGTTATAACACAACGCTCCAGATTTCTTTGACATCTAACCTTCAGGGAATGAAGCCAATATATCTTGAGCTTCTTATCTGTAGTAATCCAATATAAAATAGACTGGTGAGGATAAATTATTAGAAAGTGAAAAGGCCAAAGAAATTGGGTACATTATATGACAGGCACCATCTGGCGAATGCCATAAAACCGACCCTCTTGCCGCCCACTACTCATGTTTGGCGTAATAGTTTCTTGTAAGGGGTTCGAGAACCTATACGGTGAATTTTTCACACCCTACTGTATTCGAAATAGTTTATCTTTGTTTTAAGGCATATCAATACTAGTATCAAAGTCTGGTGCAAAGTATGTGGAGGTGGTCTGCTTGAGATTGCAATACACTTGAGAAATTTAGATAAATGCTATTTTATTAAAGAACATACTAAACGACATTTATTTTATTACCTGCTATAAAAATGACAAAAACTAGGATTTTTGCGGAGTTTCTTTTACCGTTTCTTCTCCGATCAGAGGAGCGTCAGTTATAAATGATAGCAGACTTAAATAAATGACGTCTGACAAATGAAATTTTATTTCCTGACAAGTAAAAAGAAAGAGATCTTTATTTCATAGTCAAGCTTATTGCAACTTTTATTTATTGCATTTACATGTGGTTTTGTGAGATACATTACAGCACATGCACCCAGCAAGGGTATAACAATATGAAATAAAGCTAGCTAGCTATCATGTCTTAATTCTTATACTAATATTTATATATTTTGTATACATTGCAGTTATTATTACAGTATTTAGTACACGTTATATTACTATATTTATTACTTACTTCAATTTAACATAACATTCATCTAATTTATAGTAACACTTCTTAATCAACAATGTGATAGCACTAAATAGCGATTTAGTGCTATCACAAACTTCTTATATTTTTCCATCTCTGTTATATCTTTGGGTAATGTATTATACAGTTTAACTGCCATAGAATATAGTCCAAAACCGTATAAAGATAAATTAGTTTTAGGCAATATTGATTTATTTCTCTCCCTAAGTTGTATATTAAGTCTATTTATATTATTATCACCAACTTTTTGATATATATCTTTATATTTTCTTACTAACTTACATGATTCTAATATGTATAAAGATGTAATTGGTAATATCTTGTGTTGTATAAAATATGGTCTAAAGCTTTCCCTAGAGTCAATATTTGCTAGAATTCTTTTACATTTCTTTTGAGCGATAAAGAGTTTTTGGATGTCTGTGCAGTTTCCCCACAACGGTATACCGTAGCGCATCCACGCGTACGCATACGCATTGTAGACCTCCTCAAAGACACACCATAGTATGAACGACATCCAAGAGTGGCTTGTTGTATATCAAAGGCACGAGGAAAATGATTACGCAACCAAACTCAAAAACTAAGTATTTGAATTTTTGCACTCACTTTTGAAATGTAACACCTCCTTAATTTCTAAACCAGGTACTGACCGTTAAACAGTCAGCCGCCGCAGCGTCTACATCATCTGAGGATGCCTCGTGTAGAGGCGAAAAGTCTTTCCTAAAGTAGTAGTGTTTGGAGTAGTGGTGTTGGGATTAGTGGTGACGAGATTAGTGCACGCAATTGAGGGAGGGCGGGAGGTGCTCTTTAAACTAGGTAAAACACATCATTTTATTTTATTGAGCGGATGGTTGGGAAATAACTCTTAACATCTTTAATATATTTATTATTTTATACGTGGTAGAGCCATGCTGCAGTTATATTAGTAATATAGTTGTAGCACGAATGGGTCGGCTCGACCGGGGAGGGACCACGCTCTCACAGAATACCAGCGTCAAATAGTAGCTTAATGCTGCTGTGTTTCGTATGGTAAGTGTAGAGAACCGGAGACCCTTTTTACTGGAAACGAGGCATTCCATCTGAGTCCTCACGGGTGACAACGCATCTGCATTTTGATTCGTAATCGAGGATAGATGTAGATGTCTATGGGCCACAGCAACCACTTATCATCAGGTGGACTGTGTGCTCGTTTGTCACCCTATCCTATAAAAAAAAATATAATGGATTTCCGCAAAGTAACGCTTAATTATATTCGTTAACGCCTCGTCTGTGTTTACTATGTAGTCGCGTCTTGACGTGGCCAATTCACGAGTGTTCAAAGCTCATAAAACAAAAAAGTTTCTTGAGCATACCATAGTTGGCAGCACTATCTCTAGTCATTGTGTTTTTTCGTGCCACAACGACTAGTAGTGTTCCGCCATTTTGTGTTAACTAAAAATAGTTAAAAATTTTGTTATACACAATGGCAAAGAAAAGAATATTGTTGGAAAAGCTCATTAATCTTTTGGGAGATTCGGACGAAGGTAATATACTTTACATTTCTTATTTTTCCAGATTGTTTTTTTTTACCGTTTTCACTAAAAGCGTCTTCAAAAGTTTTATGATTATCGGAAAATAAATAAATCTCGATGAAACTTGCGGTACCACGAGCGGGTACACGAGTTATTTAATTGTTGTCATATTTACCAGTGTTTGGCGATAGAACGAGCGTCTATACATAAACATGGTACCAACAATGTCGACAATTTATGAGATCACATAATATAACCCCTGTTTTTGTGTTTTGCGATAGAACGAGCGTCTATACATAAACACAGTAAAAACTAATTTTCTTGCGGTGCCACGAGCGGGTACACGAGAATATTCCTAAAATATAAGGGGCCTTTTTTGCAGAAAAACATTAAAATTAGTACTTAATTTTGGTTAAGGAAAAGATGTTTTTATTATAGCCTGTCATAAGTCCTTTTCTCACAACATCACAACTTTTCAGTTGACAAACCACGGAAAAGACGGGTGATCGACAGTGACTCTGATACTGATAACGAAAGTCAAACGAAGAGAAAAAGAATAATTGTACCAAGTGATAGTGAGGAAGAAAATAATGAAAGCATGTCCTCAAATGTTCTGCAACTCTTAGGGGAAGAACCAAAACATGAAAATATCTTGGAAATCCATATAGATGTCGCAAACATTTGGAATAACATTGTCACTAATGGATTAGATAAAGAAAGTAAAGACAAAATTAATAAAAAGATACCTACCCTTAAAAATTGTGATGTAACTGCACCAAATCTAAACTCTGAAATCTTGGCAACATTATCAGCAAGTGCAAAAACTAGAGACGAGAGACTTAGGGAAAAACAGAACCAAATTGGTTACATTATAGCAAATTTGAACTGTGTCTTAAAATCATTGCTTGTCAAAAATGATTCTAACAAAGAAGAAATAGAAAAAATTAGTGATAGCCTCCGTCTCCTTTGTGACCTTCAATTCATGGAGTCAGAAACCCGAAGGGCTGTGATATTACCAGGGCTCAATAAAAGTATTAAAAACAGCTTGGAAAAATGTAAAGCATCAGATGGTTTGCTCTTTGGTAAAAATCTTTCTGAAACTATAAAAGAAAGTAAAAGTATTGAACGCTCTTCAAGAGATTTGAAGAAAGCTTCAGAAAAGCCTAATGCCCCTATTAACAATCCTTTAAACTCCTGGGGCCCGTCCACATCATCGAAGAGGAAACCACATCAGGGCGGGCAATACCAGCATTACCATCCTCGCCATTCTTCTCAGAGAGCTCATCGCTCTGCAATGACACAAGCTCAAAACCGGCCAATGCGAGGCAAACCAAGGCAGTGGAACAGGAAAAAAGACTAGAGGTATGCAGTGCAGCAAAGTTACCATTGTTTTTTAATAATTGGCTACATATTTGCAAAAGCAATACCATTTTACGGTGGGTTAAAGATGGTTATAAAATACCTCTATTACACCATGTAAATCAATCTAACCCCCCCTTAAATAACTCCTTTAATAGGTCAGAAATTACTATTATTAAAAAATGTATAAAACATTTGATGAATATAGGTGCTGTAAAAATATGCACTCCTATTAAAGAACAATATCTTTCAAAAATCTTTGTAGTTTCTAAACCAGATGGATCTTATCGTTTTATTTTAAATCTGAAATCTTTTAATAAACACGTTGAAACTCACCATTTTAAATTAGAGGACATAAGAACTGCCTTAAAATTAATTTCACACAATTCTTATATGGCAAATATTGATCTGAAAGATGCATATTTTTGTTTACCAATACACAGCACTTCTCGTAAGTTCTTGAGGTTTTATTTTAACAACAAATTATATGAATTTCAAGTGCTTCCTTTTGGACTGTCATCAGCTCCTTATGTTTTTACCAAATTAATAAAACCCATTGTTACATACCTAAGAAAACAAGGTTTTTCATCGGTTAATTATTTAGATGATTTTTTATGTATTGAAAATTCATTTGAGAAGTGTGAACAAAATGTCAAAGTCACCTGTAAATTACTGGAATCTTTAGGTTTTATTATTAATTATAATAAAAGTAAACTCATACCAGAGAAAAATTGCAAATTCCTTGGCTTTATACTAGATTCAGAAAACTATGTGTTGGGTATACCAGAAGACAAAAGAAATGATCTTTATAAAAAACTAAATACATTTTGTAAAGCTAAGACATGTACTATACGTTGTTTTGCTTCTTTGATAGGTAGCTTAATTGCAGTGTGTCCTGCCATTCCTTATGGCATGTTGTACACAAAAAGACTAGAACGTTTTAAATTTTTGGCCCTTCAGGCAAATAAGGGAAATTATGATAGCAAATTGGTTTTAGGAAGTGACATCATAGAAGATTTTACTTGGTGGAAAAATCATATACACATATCCACAAATCCCATTAGAGAGGCTAAGTATAAAAAGGAAATATTTACCGATGCCTCCTTAACAGGATGGGGGGTGGTCTGCAATAATGAAAAGCTTCATGGTTATTGGAATAACAAGGATAAAAAGCATCATATAAACTATTTAGAACTTAAAGCTATATATTTTGCCTTACAGTGTTTGTGTAAAGATCTAAGAAATTGTCAAATTTTGATACGCTGTGATAACACCACAGCAATTTCTTATATAAATCGAATGGGTGGGATACAATACCCACATTTAAATAACTTAGCTAGAAAAATTTGGCAGTTTTGTGAAGATAAAAATATATTCATTTTTGCGTCATATATCACTTCCACAGAAAATTATCTTGCAGATAGAGAATCTAGGAAAATAAATGAAAGCACCGAATGGGAACTTCATGCCCATGCATATAAAGAAATTATTGCTAGACTAGGTTCTCCATGTATAGATCTTTTTGCATCAAGAATAAATGCAAAATGTAAATTGTTTGTGTCATGGCATATGGAACCAAACTGTTGGGCTGTTGATGCATTTACCATTTCATGGAAAAATCTATATTTTTATGCATTTCCACCTTTTTCTCTCATATTAAAATGCTTAAGAAAAATAGAAGATGACAGTGCAATAGGAATTATAGTGGTTCCAAACTGGCCATCGCAACCTTGGTTTCCATTATTTAAATCCATGGTTAAATCAGAAATGATCTTTTTTCATCCTCACAAATATTTATTATTATCTCCTTTCAGGAGCTGTCATCCACTTCACCAGAGCCTTACATTAGTTGCAGCCATTGTATCAAAAACATGTATTTAAAGAAGGGCTATTCTGAAAAGAGTATTTCTATTATAATAAGTTCCTTATCTAAAAACACTTTAAAACAATATGATTCCTCTCTAAGACAGTGGTGGAATTTTTGCCAAAATAACATTAAAGATCCTTATCAAAAGGATATACCAAGTATTTTATCGTTTCTTACTGAAAAATTTGAAAGTGGAAGTGCTTATGGTACCATTAATTCTGTTAGATCCGCATTATCACTGTTATTTAATTGTGATTTGGGTAATCATAAAGACATAAAGAGGTTTTTTTGATGGTTTATACAAAATAAGACCAAACAAACCAAAATATGAAGAAACGTGGGATCCAGCCCAAGTCTTAGAATATTTAGCCAATTTTTATCCCAATATTAATTTATCTTTAGAAGTATTAACAAAGAAGTTGGTCATGTTATTAATGTTAGTTACTGCTCAGAGACTGCAAACTATGGTTTTAATTAAAATAGGAAATATCAAAATTGAATCATCCGGTGTAAAAATTAGAATCCCAGATTTGATTAAAACGTCAAGAAAAAATAAATTTCAACCATTACTCCATATACCTTTTTTCACAGATAATGTATGTATATGTCCAGCACAAACTTTAATAGACTATTTACAAAGAACGATTGAACTTCGTCAGTCTGTTCAAAACTTGTTTATAAATTTTAAAAAACCTCACAATTCAGCATCAACACATACTTTAGCTAGATGGATCAAGGATATTTTGTCAAAATCTGGCATAGATACCTCATTATTTACCGCTCATAGTACTAGACATGCCTCAACATCTTTAGCAAATCGCAGTGGTATTAATATTGATCATATCAGAAAAACTGCCGGTTGGACTAATAGATCTAGCACGTTTGCAAAATTTTATAATAAGCCTATAATTGATCAAAATAATTTTAGTAATTGTATACTAGCTAGTATAAGTAAGTAAAATGTTACTTTAAACCTTAGTTTTATCAACACTGATTTTTTGTTTTGTCTGTTATATTTCATTAAATAATTAAACAAATTACCGCAATCTCATTCTTTAAACATCTACATAGTAAACACAGACGAGGCGTTAACGAATATAATTAAGTGATCAAAGTAACTTACCTGTAAGTGAACTTCGATCATAATTATATGAAGTTAACGCCTCGTCTGTGTGCAACCCTCCCCTATATAATGTGAATATATAGCCCCACCCATTAATTGCTATGTTTAATTATTTTGTTTTTATTCTTTGAACTCAATGACTAGAGATAGTGCTGCCAACTATGGTATGCTCAAGAAACTTTTTTGTTTTATGAGCTTTGAACACTCGTGAATTGGCCACGTCAAGACGCGACTACATAGTAAACACAGACGAGGCGTTAACTTCATATAATTATGATCGAAGTTCACTTACAGGTAAGTTACTTTGATCACTTAATTATATTAACACTGCGGTTGTATGTATCAAGGTATCACGTGTGGCAAATATACTGAATATGAGGCAGTTTATGGGGGAGGCCTGTGTCCGGCAGTGGACTTTGTTCCAGTTGCATTAACATTTGAAGTAAATACTACACAAGGTATATTTCTTCAAGGCAACATGTTTTTATGGAAATAAAGGTACATACAGTCCACCTGAGTATTAATCAGATGTTATTTTGACCAAAAAACACCTACATCTATCCCTAAGAATCAAAATGCAGATGGGTTAACCGCTATGGACTAAGATTAAGTAACTCATTACTAGTAAAAGAGTCTCCGGTTCACGCACCATACGAAACAGCAGCTTCACGCTGTTATTTCGAGGTTCAATAGTCGAGCCGACCTATGCATTTTACCGCCAAAATATTCCGCATCGTGCATATCTGGCTGCAATCATGCTCTACCACTTAGAAAAGTATTAAAAAGTCAGACATACCATCTTACATTACCACTCAGAAACTGGTAGGTAGAAGGTGAAGCAAGTACTGGACAGTATTAAAAAAGTATATAAAACCTTTCGGAGACAAGATTTTTCTAAAAACAAAACGGAATTTCGTACTGTCTTGTTGTTACAACACGGTAACGATGGAATTAAAATAGTTCAGAGTAATTAGAGTTATTAAGTATGAGCCCCGTTTGAAATGCCAACTTTATCTATTCTATTCTCGGTACATCCGGTTGCTTGTCAAAAATGATATTTAGATGAATGGTAGAATATTTATACCCTAAAGTGCCGTACCAAAACCCTAAGCACTGACGGGGAGCAATAGTAAAATTACTATTACCTAGTGTGGTGAACATGGACAGCTGTTATACGAAGTACATCAACATTTTTGAAAAAGCCAATATCTATCGAAGGACATAGAATAAATAAAAATAATAAACACCTTTTAAATATATTTAAAAGATGTTTCAAAAGTATATTAAAATTCTGTTCTATTTCGTACAATGTTTAAAGCTTATTTTCACATTGAAGTTGTGGTAGCACACGGCAATAATTATTAAACTTTTATTTAATCGATTCAATCATTTCATATTGTACAAAACATAAACAAATAATCAGGGTTTTCTACCCCACAAAACAATTAAAAGGCAATACTTAACATCGCGTGATATCTATCTGCTAGTCAATTAAGGAGCTCAGAATTCTACATAAAATTGCTGTCTTGTTTTCCGCTGTAGGTGTTATCATCATACTCAATCTGACTGCGCGGTCAGAAATTACCCCCTTTTATGGATATTTCACCCCCCGGGGGGACACTTGACCCTCCTATCTGGATACATCATCTACCCCTAAAGTGAACTAATGGGCTAAGCTAGAGAATAAAGTTACTGGAACTGTCAGCTTACACTTATCACATTATAGTTTGTAGTTTAAAAAAATTAATTGGTTACAATATAGTATTGATGTAATATTATTTTTATCTATATCTTTACAAGTTTATTTGTATAGGTAAGAAGTGCGTATTAATATTTTAAGCATTTAAAGAAAGATTTACGTTTCTTTAAATGGAAATGTGTTACAAAATAGCGAAAAGCAAACATTCTCAAACAAAAATTTGTTTAAATACAAAAAATAATATACACAAACTTTTGTGCTCTTATATTATACATACATATATAATATTATTAGTATGTTAAAGTCGAAGTT